TCTCGACATAGCTCGATCTGACGCACGTTCCGATCCGAGCCGATGTCCCGATTCGGCATGGATTGGATGCTGCCCACACGATGAGTACTGTTTGCTTGGCCCTCGCGTCGTTGTCCTCCTCGTCTTCCTCAGTCCTCGCTCTCACATCCAGCGGGGAGGTGCACGATTCCCCCCCGAACTGCGGATACAGTCGAAACCGATGGTAACCAAGGGTATCCTTGCATCCGTGCCACCCCGGTCCATCCTGAACACCTTTCGATTGCCGGCCCCGCTCGAAACGCGTCGGCCTGGGCGTCCAAGGGGTTTGCATCGTTGTCGCGCATCCTTATTCGCCCCTCCTGGCTCCTCGCTCCTCGCTCCTCGCTGCTCGCTCCTCCTCTCTCTCCTCCTCCTTCTCCTCCGTCCTTCCTCCCTCCCTCCCTCCCTCCCTCCTCCTGCGTCCTCCCCCTCCTCCTCCTCCTCCTTTTCCTCCTCCTCCTCCTCCTGTTCCTCCTCCCTTTTTTTGACTGTTGGGAAATGTCTCTAGCGAGAAGGGGGACCACACCACCAGGGAGACTCCCCCCCTCTGGCTCCTCGCGCCGGTGGTCCCTGGAGGTAGTGGTGTCTCCTATCCCTTGTTCGGGAGGGAGAAGACACGAGGGCACAAACCGCCGTCGATTCCTAGGAAAATACGGAAGATCTGGGAAGCGGGGGCAAGACGACGTCCAGAAAGTATGGAGAAATCCCGGGAATCCTTGGACCTGTGCCTGTCTGTGTGTCCCTGGGCCTCCTTGCTGCTCCCGGCAGCGAGAGACCCACTCCCCGCGGGGGGGGGGGGGGATCCTGCTCCTCCTCCTCCTCCTCCTCCTCCTCCTCCCCCTCCTCCTCCTCCTCCTCCTCCTCCTCCTCCTCCTCCTCCCCCTGGCCCTCTTCCCCCTGCCCCTCCTCCCCCTGCCCATCTGCCCTCCCCCTCCTCCCCATGCCCTCCCCCCGTGCCCTTCCCCTCCTCCACCTGCCCCTCTTCCCTCCCCCTCCTCACCCTGCTCCTCCCACCCCCCCCGCCTTCCCTCCGCCTCCTCCCCCTGCCCCTCTTCCTCCACCTCCCTCTCCTCCTCCCTCTCCTTCTTCCTCCATCCTCCCCCTCCTCCCTCGCCTTCTTCCTCTCATCCTCTCCTCCCTCCATCCTCCTCTACTCCCCCTGCCACTCTTCCTCCCCTTCCTCCCTCTCCTCCTGCCTCCATCCTTCCCCTCCCTCTCCTCCTTCCCCACCTCCCTCAATCCTCCCCCCCTCCTCCCTCTCCTCCCTCCATCCCCCCCGCCCCCTTCCCTCTCCCTGGACACTGCAAAGCGCGGCACCTTCAAGTTGATCATGACATCTGAACAGTTTCCGGGGGGGCGGGTCCGCATCAGCCCCGCCATCCAGGCAGAACGCTGTCCCAATCAGCGCTTGCATTGCGGGGCGTTTCCGCCGGAGACGCACGTGTGCCAGGCCTGTGGCGCACCGTCTCAGTGGCAATTGCTGGGTTCCCTGGCGCACCGAGCTTGCGACGTACACAAGAGGGCTGGACCTAAACGGTGTTTTTGGTGGGTTCGTCGGCCGTTGTCATTTCGACTTCGTTCTGCGGTACGGGCGGATTCGAGACAAAAGCGACGGACAACGAAAACAGAACGACAACGAACAACACCGTCTAGGTTCAGCCCTGGTACACCAGACCCCCAACCTGCCCATGTCTGCCCTGCCCCGCTGCGATGTGTCAGCCCAGATCGGGCTGGACGCGGGTGGCTCGTCTTGGTGAGCTGGCCGCAGCTTGGCGCTCCTCTCGGAGAGCCTCGCAGAGGCGAGAGTTGGAGGCTCCTCGGAGGAGGGCTCCATTTGTCTGCCGTCCTTCTCGTCTTTGTCGGTTGGCCGCACCTTGCGTTCCTCTCGCAGCACATTGCAAGAGCGAGCCTTGGAGGTTGTTCGAAGATGGGCTCCGTTTCCAAACGGGCTGTCCTCACAGTCGGTGTGTCTATCTAGTGCTGTTTCGCCTCATTCAGCTTGGGTTCACCGCTGTGGATGTCAGACAGTCACCAGTGGCCTTTGTGGTGATAACATTGGCCGGTGTAGATGTCAACGTGGTAGGGACCGCCACTGGCCGGTGTGGTGATTCGTACCTTAGCGTGCGTGTTCACGAGTTTGGCCTCGTAGCGGCCAGGCGGATCTTTTCTTCCCGGGCACCCTACTCCAGAATTCGTAATAAAAGGGAGGGGGTCTGGACCCTCCAAGACAAGCCATTTCAGACCCCCCCCCGTGGGAGAACCCTCCAAAACATCGTCCCCAGACCCCCCCAGGCCCTCCAAGATAGCCTGGAAGAGACCCCCCCCGAAATGAGACCCCCCTCCCTTTATTACGAAATCTGGAGTAGCCACAGCCGCTTCCTCCTGCTCTTCTTCCTCCTCCTCCTCCCGCCTCCTCTTGCGTCCTCCTCCTTCCTCCTCTCTCCCTCCCCGCCGCGAGGCCGGCAAGGGGCGCACGGGGTCCCTGTGCTGCGCCTGGCTGCTGTACGCCAAGAGGCGCAAGTCCGTCGAGAAGGCCCTCGAGATGTTCGCGGAGAGGACCGCCCTCGCCTTTGAAACGTCGGTCCCCAGGAAGGGGGCTAAGGGTGCAACTCGTGGGAGGAGGGAGGAGGTTGAGGAGGAGGAGGTTGAGGTTGACGAGGAGGAGGAGGTTGAGGAAGAGGAGGTTGAGGAGCAGGAGGTGGAGGAGGAGGAGGAGGTCCCAGATCCGGTCCGATCGGGCCTTGGCTCAAGTTTGCACCCCTGGTCAGGTCCAGGGGTTGAGGGCTCACGCGATCGTTTTGAGCCACGTGCGACCCATCAGACGGCCGCCCGGCCAGGGTAGCACCGAGTCTCGGCCACACCAGACTCCCTTCTGCGCCATGGCTTGCAGGCATGCGGCCTGTTCGCTATTCGGCGCGCTCCCGGCTGTGGCCGACGAGCGGGGCCGATGCAGGCGCTGCGGCCAGGCGCTGCCCAGCGCCGCCGCTGCCGCCCCCGCAGCCGCCAGGCCGCCACCGCCGCCAGGGCTCCCCGCTTCAGGTGATGGTTCTGCGGCGGCCGCCACGCCGCCTGGCGGTGGGGAGGCGCTGCAGGCTGGGCGCACGGCGCTGCTCCGGGAGTGGCAGGAGCAGGACGTCATGCAGCACATGCCGCTCGTCGCCGCCGCCCGGGTCAACGCATCGGACGACCTCCCGGTGGAGCTGCCTACGGACGTCCCCGTGCTTCTTAACCTGCTCGAGAAATTGGGGTACAGCTTCACGGTGGACGACCCCTGGCAGCTCTTGGGGTTCGCCCGTTTGGAAGGACCAGCCCCCTCGGAGCTCAGCATTGCATCCCGCCTCCGCTCCGCCCGGTACCTCCTATCAGCCGCGATCGACCTCGCCGAGCCGGCTGCTCAGACGCAGCAGCTGGAGGCTTTGCGCATCAAGTTGGATGCCGCCGAGACGCGCTGCATGTCCGAGCTGGGGGAGGTGCTGAGGACCCGTAGGAAAGTTAAGAGTCAGCGGGCAAACGTCTACCAGGAGCTGGGCTTGGACGCGGTCTCGCACACATTGAAAATCATCCCGGCCGAGTTCAAGCTTGCAACACAACCCTCGGACGTCCTCGCGATCCGAAACGACCGGCTCCTGCCAATCGCAGCGGCCCGAACACTTTCGGAAACCATGGAGCGGGGCGACGCGAAATTGGTTGATTTGGTGCAGCACTCTTCGGTGGTAGTCTGGCTCCCCTCCGACTCGAACGCCCTCACCAGATGCCTGGCCGCTTACCTCCGACGCTTCGCTGCAGTACCAGAGCCGCCCAAGGTGATCATGATCACACCCATCCCCAACATCACTGGCGAACTCAGCGTGGACGGGATCACAGATCTTTGGAGTTCCTCGATACTTTCGGCTACGTGGACCGCGTTCGTCAAGGAGGTGGTGTACATCCCGTTCCCCTTCGAGCTGCTCTCCACGGCCAGCAATGGCACGCCGAGGCACTTCAGGGAGGGCCTGGGCATGTTCTCCCTCCGCCAGAACGGTCCCGTGAGTCCCCCACGCATGCTCAAGGTCGACGCACTCTTAGCAGTTCCGGGGCACTGGGTCGTCGTCGTCGACATGCGCATCGAATTCTTGACGGAGTTCTTGCAGTATTTGCGTGCGCACATACTTTCAGGGATCTCTTACCGCTTCCACAAGCGCAGTGCCGCTAGTACGACCGAGTGCCCACGGATCACCGTGGAGCTCATCATGGAGGGGGGCGCGACTGACATCGAGAGCATGGCGGTTATGAAAGAGCTTCGCCGGCAGCACCTGCCACCGGACACGTTCTACGCTTTCAAAAGCATCTTGGGAGCCCGGGATTCGTTGATCCTCGAGTTCGGCAGCCCCGCCTCCCTCATCTCGTTGTGGCCGTTTTGCTCCCAGCTTTACGTCCTCGACCGTTCTCGGGCGCTGCTCTTCCCGGAGGCGCTTGCCGACGCTTGGAAGGACAAGATGGACGAGCTCTTCCGTCTGGACGCTGCTGGGGCTGCGTCCAGGCTGCGCTGCCGGCCCTCCTTCCACGGAGGTCGGACGATCGCGACCCTTGGAGCCACCGCGATCCAGCTCGGTGCGCAAAAACGGAGGGGTGGGCGAGCGACGTCGGCAGCGGATTGCATCGCTGAGATCATCCCCAGAGGCCACCTCGGTAAGGACGATTCTCTCGTGCTGGACAAGCTCATGCAGCACGCAGCCCAGCACGCGGGCCTCAACATCACCCGGGCGGCGGACCCCGACCATCCGCGGGCGGGCGAGTACATGCACGTGCCGATCCGCACCCCTGCCTCGCCTTCGGGATCAGTGCGGGCACTGGTGAAGAGCCAGGAGGAGATCCGCAAGATCTACGCGGTCCTCCATGGCCAGCCCATCCTGGTTGGTCATGAGCACGCGGTGATGGAGGTCCGGAACGACTTGGTGGAGGTCCAGATCCAGCGGGGTGGGGCCCGAGGGCGAGGCTGTCGGCGCCGACCCCATCCTCGACTCCTTGAGGCACCGTGCTAACACTTGGGTTGGAATTCATTGCATTGACACCAGTGGCGCCCAGGTCTTTGCCACGCACGTCGCCTTTCGGACCCACTCCGAGGTCGCCTCGGGGCCGGTCGGTTTTGGCCGCGCGGCGTGGGAGAGCTCCCCGGGCACCGCTTCCACTACCAGGTCTTCTACCTCTCCTGCTTCCCGCTCTCGCTCTCGCCCCTACGAGCCGTGCCCGCGCAGACCGCGTGAGGGCGGCGTTGGGGGCGTCCACCGCCATCCTCGGGCACCCCACCGAGCTGAACTTCGCGTTCCTCTAGCTGCCGATATTCACCTACGCCCCCCCCCCCTCCCGCCTCTATTGCCCAGGCATGTCGACCTGCTCGCAGAAAGGGCGGCGCGCCATTCTCGCCAAGACGTGCCACCGCAAATGCGTCTCTAGCCTCATCTTCATCGAGCCTTGGGGCTACTTCCTGAGAACATCGCTCTCCCTCGGCTGCGAGATCTGGATCCCCCGGCCGCGCCCGCACGGCCCTTGAGAGATGGCCAATACAAGGGCGACGTCACGGTCACCACTTGGAACGCGCAGGCCCTGTTCGCCTCGAACCCGGCGCGGCATGGCCTCAAGGCGGCTTACGTGCACCGCTTGATGCTCAAAACAGACATCCCCCTGGTCACCGAGACGCATGGGGCGGAGACGGGCAGCGCCATTTGGCGCCCCCCACCCGGCTGTTCTGCATGGCGGTCACAAGGTCCGACGGCTGGTCACTCAGGAGTCGGTTTCGTGATTAAGGACGACTTCCTCCGTCGCTTCGAGCAGCCGCCGCGCTTGCACCACATATGGCGGGGCCGCGCCGCCAAGCTATGCCTTCGGGGCTCTCAGGGGGCATTGGATTTGATTGTGGTTCATTTCCCTGCTGGCTCCCACGCCAACCCGCCCGACACCGACCTGGCAGGCGCCCCGCGCAGACACCGGGCCGGCTTGGCCAATTTCCCGGCCATGCGCGCGTGCACGCGGCAGCTGCTGGCGAACAACGTGAAGGACAGGGGCCGCTGCCTGACCGTGCTCGGGGGGGACTTCAACTACGTGGCACAGGATGCGGACAGAGTCTCGCTGGCGACAGCCGTGGATTCCGGCCGTCGGGATGGCCGGGAAGAAGCTCACTTCCAGGCCGCTTTGGCGTCGAGACATGGCTTGTTCGAGATGTTCCAAGGGGTTTCATTCACTCCTCGGCCACAGCCCGTTCGCGGCTGGACCGGATATACTTCAATCGCGACGTGGCCGAGCAATTGGACCGCCGCATCACGGCCACGGCCCTCGAATGGTGTTTGGACCTATCCCACCATCGCGCTGTTCGTGTAGCACGTCTTGCGCCAGCCCGAGCAGACGACCCAGACCGCCCCCTCGCACAACGAGCGCTCTTGCACAAGGACTTCCCGCGGCGTTTGACGTTGTAGTTCAACGAGGCGTTAAAGGAGAACCCCGAGGCTTCGCTGTTTCAGCAGCTCGCTGTGTACAAGTCGTCGATGCGACGGGTCGCACGCAGGCTGGAAAACGACTTCACGGCCATCCCTGTTGCACAGGATGCGGAGGACAAGCTGGGCGTTGTGCTGAAAACGATCCGGGCGATCGAGGGCGGTCGGCCTTCGGAGGTTACCATATGCCTTACCAGGTTCCCTGACATCCGACACCACGTCGCGAACCCATGCGACTTCGACGGCAACTTGTCCCAGAAGCTATCGCGACTACGCCAATTGGCTGTACAACTCGCTCGGGGCCATGCCGTGGACGAGCCTCGGAGCTCCCGGGCCGACCTCACTGGCGAGGGCGCTTTCAAAGCCCAGGTTGCACGTCAGAGAAACAATCGCTTGATATTTCGTCTCGCCCCTGGCCGGGGCAGTTCGCTGAGCGCCATTCTCAAGGGCGACGGCGAGGCAACCGCGGACTCTCAGGACATGGCACGCTCCTTAGGCGCACATTGGTCCCAGACCTTCCGGGCGCAGGGTATCAACGAGGAATTGCTGGGCCAGTGGCTGGAGGACGACGCCGACACCAGACCTCTCGCGGACCTGGCCAACACGCGGCTGACCCGGGTACGCCTCCGGAAGTCGCACTTTGTCCATGCCCTCAAGACCTCGAGCAACACGGCCCCAGGCCCCGACGGAATCCCTTTCCTGGCTTGGCGCCGGTGCGCTAAGGTCTGTCTCGGCGTTCTTATTGTTCAACGCGGCGCACTACATCCACGGAAACGGCGAGGCGGGCCTCGCCAAGGAGGAAGCCAAGGAGTACAACACCAGCCTGATGTTCCTCCTCCCCAAAAAGCCAGCTGGCACTCTACCCGCTGGGGAGGGCTACTTCACGCCTGCGGAGACCAGGCCCCTGAGCGTGGCGAACGCGGACAATCGACTCATCTCGAACGCCGCCCGTTCCGCCATTGAGCCAGCGGTCAGCCGGGGTATCCTGGAGATTAAACGAGGTTTCCTCGGTGGCCGTTCCATGCTGGCCAATCTTGTGGACATGGAGGAGGCGATGCTCCGAGCAGCGCTCAGCAGCTCAACGGGGGGAGCCCTGCTGTTCGACTTCGCGGCGGCGTTCCCGTCCATCGAGCATAAGTTCATGTCCCGCGTCTTCGACCACCCGGCATGGCCGGCGTGGCTGAGAGGCAACATCGCCGCTCTGTACTGTGCGATCACCATGGGAGGAGCCGAACATTGTTGCTTCGACGTCACGAGGGGGATCCGGCAGTGCTGCCCACTGTCGCCGCTCTTGTTCGCTGCCGCGATCGACATACTCCTTCGCAGGATCGCCCGTCTACCTCCATGCGGCGTCCTACGTGGCTACGCGGACGACCTCGCGCTTGCAGTCGCGGACATATGGGCCTGCCTGCCGGTGGCGGAAAGGGTCTTCACCGACTTCGAGCGCGTCGCAGGGCTCGCCCTGAACCTCCGCAAGACGGTCTTCATCCCGCTCTTCCCCACGACCCTCCTGGAGGCTCGCAGGCGCCTGGCCGAGACAACCCCGCTGCGGGGAGCGTTGGAGGTCGCTTTCAGTGCAAAATACCTCGGGTATGTCATTGGGCCAGGGAGAGGTCAGCGCACGTGGGACGCGGCCATCAGGAAGTACCTGGATCGCGCGGAGATTTGGCGATCCCTGCACGTGGGCATGCTGAACACGGTCGAGGCGTACCGGATTTACGTGGCGTCAGTGCTGACGTTTTGCGCGCAGCTCGACCCGCTGCCGCCGAACTTTGTGGAGATCGAGAACCGGGTGCTGCGGCGCCTGTTTGTCGGGCCTGGGGATTGGATGTCTGCTTCTCAAAAGCCTCGCGCTGTCCGGCTTTCCCCGCGAATTGTTCGACGTCCACTCCGCATCCATTGTGGCCCTGCACGAGAATTGCAGGAACGGTGGGTTTCAGGTTTCGCGCAGGGCGAACGATCTTCGGAGTCTCGCCACGGCCGCCAACGACACTGCAGCCCGCGCCGCCGATGTGCACGCGTGGTACCAGAGCAACTTCCTCTCCTCACTGGAGAGCGCCGTCATCCGCGTGAGCGCGGCGGCCGCGGGGGAGCACGTCTTACTTGACATCCATCATCCAGACCACCCGTGGACGGGTTGGCAGGCCAGAGCTGCACGTCTCATCCGGCCAGACTACACCATCGCAGCTTTGGCACATATCCGTCGCAAGCTATGCCGATGGCAAGTCCGAACACTACCCGGTCACCGGACATTGCGATGGATCCGTGTCTCCCAGGCCGTCTCGGACCTCGTCGCGCCGAGGGTCATGTGTGCAGCAGTGCGCACTGCCTGCAATGGCTGGGCGACCGCACGTCGATTCCAGGGCCGCTCTTCGTGCATCATGGGCTGCGCCAGGGAGGGCGCGATTGAGCATTGCGCTTTCTGCCGTTCCTACCATGACTGCTGCTCGCGGTACCTGGGCCTCTGGCGCCCGTCCATGGAACACGCTCTGGAGGACTTCGTCGGCATTGACCGGTCCTCGACGGCATCGCGGGGCAACCCCGCGCTGACGGAGGCGGAGAAGAGCGCCCTGAGGGCGATATCCATCTACGCTCTGCACATGACGCACGCGCAGGCCCGCCACGGACTGCGGGCGGCCGAGGCAGCGAACGCCTTCCGCGGCCATCTCCGCGAGGCCACGCGGTGCCACCCGAGGTCCACAGAGCTGATGGTGAGGGCCTTCGCTTCGCGGGGCGCGCGGGCATACAGAGGCTGATTCCCATTTTTCCCAACCTCCCCCCCCTCCTCTCTTCGCGTGGTTTGCTCGGCTTCTCTTCGCAATCTTGCATGCAGCACACGTGGCGGGGCCACCTCGGCGCCTTCCTTTCGGCCCGGCGCGTGATATATAGCGCGGGGGGCAATTAGCAGGAGTAGATCGCTCGATGCCTGTAGCTAGTGTACTTCGGGTTTCATTGTTTCCACTTTCGGGTGCGATTTATTTTCTTCCGCCGTGCAACGCGCGGACTAGTGGATACGAGACTGGGCATTTTCGTATCTGCCCACTCCTCCCCTCTCTCTCCCTCCTTCTCTCCTTTCCTCCGCCGTGTCCTTCCGCGATCCCATAATATTGCGTTGGATTTCCGGCAGTGGCCGGTTGGGCCAGGCGCCAGAGGGTTACGACACAATGTATGCAACTCCGGCCCGATACGTTTTGAGGGCAATTCGTATCACTCGCAATATTGCTTCCTACTGGTCTCACTCGGGATTGAAACCCAGATTGCATCTCAGCCTCTAGATCTTCGCCAGCGCGTGGAGTCAAAACTGCGTACAGCTTTGCTTGCGCTGCGCCAAAAAAAACATCCGGTCCGATCGGGCGTCATCCCGCTCCATCCAGCTCGATGCCGCTAAAGCCCGCCGGCTTCGCGGTTTCAGTGGGGCTCAGTCCTCCTGAACCTCTCCGACGAAGACCTCCCAGCAGTTGCCTCCCAAGGTTAAGTCGGGCCCGCCCCTCTGCAGGAGGAGTGTGAATAAAAACATCGTCCAAACATAGTTTGGGGACGGTGTCTTAGATACTATCTCGGAATGTGGTTTGGTTTTTGGTTGGCTATTTTTTATGTGTCTTCAAGAATCCCCCTGTAGGGGCACATGCCCGACCTAACCCAAAGGTTAAGTCGGGCCTGTCCCTCTACAGGGGGAATATTCAAAAACAGTCAAAAATTAGAGTGGCGACCATTTTTGGTGATTTTCTGGCATTCTTGCGCATTCTTGAATATTTTTCTTTTTCGTCGAAAATCCA